AATAACAAGTATTATTTAGTGACGAAGAAGACTTATTACTAATAAGTCTTAGTAAAGTTAATTGTTACAACTAATATCTACTAGTAAATAAAATAAAAAAGTTACAAATTACATGCTATATTTTAAAAATATAATCAGGTTTTAAAAAATTCTTGAGCCATTAAAGCAAAAAACAAAGTAGCTTAAAAAACACTGTCCACCAAAAATACGTTGTAGTAGTAGTAGTAGTGCAAGTGTTTACTTACATATAATAGTAATAATAAAATAGATAATCTACTCAATTTAGGCAACTAGAAAAATCAAAACATCATATTAAGCAAGTACAGAGCAATAATTAACGTTCACAAACTTTCATACTGAAAAGGAATATTAAACTACAAGTATAATGAAATGATGAATGGTTTGCTAACACGAAATGCATCCTGGAATTTAATCTTTAGCATGTATTCACATAATTTTCAAAACATAAGCCTTGACAATGATAAGGTATTAATATTATGAAATAGTAAGTTGTAGACCTACTAGTTTTCATTTAAACTACAATATTTCAAAAAGTCACTTACTTAGGCTAATTTGTTTACTTATAGTTGTACTTAAATAAATTTCAAAATTGAATTTCAATTATTAGTATTACTGATAACATTAACAGGCCCACTTAAACTTTTGCTACATGAATTTTCTCGCAAATAAAATATCCAGATTACTTTAAATTTAATTAAATACGAAAAAATTGCCACTTACATTGCTTAACTATTACCTTAATCAAACCACTTAGTGACAGTCGACTAATAAAATGTCCTTTACTAAGTTTAGTACTAATACCATAGTAATACTAGTATTAGTAAGAGTATTACTATTAGTAATTGGCTTTTAACTTTTAGTTGTACTGTTGTATGTTTGTATCGATTTATTATTTAACACTAATGAATTATAAAGGGTATTAGCTTTGCTACCCTAAGTCAGAAATACAATAAAAGCATCAAACTCAAATAACAATTTGTGATTATTATTAGTAGTAGTATTACAACTAATATTAACATTAGTATACACAAACTAAAGTCTAAAGTAGTACTATTAATTATATATATATATATATACACACACACGCACCTTACTCGACGTAACGTTAAAAGTTCATACCTAGTTCTTACATAAAAGTATCATTTTAACGAATGAACGCAAAATAATATCCCTAATTTTTTTTTAATACTTAATACTAAAACAATACTAATCAGCATCTAAACGTGTCAATTACCATTTTTGATGTACAATGGATAAAACTTCTCCCACTTTTTCACTTACAAACTCCAAAATCGTCTGCAACTTAAACTCGTTGAAATCGAATGTCAACGGATTCCGATGGAACATAAATATCACTCCGCTTGTTTAACCCTCCAACTTTAGAATACTTCGAAAAATAACCAGGAGTCAACAAATAAACAAATATTTAATTTTTAGAACCAATTTTGTAACACCTTATTGTAAAGTTATTAATAAAATAAACAGGTTTACGTGAACTTCTTTTGGAGTATATTTACACGCGTAATACCATGGAAGTGACCCGGTGAAATGTGCGCCAGAGTTTGGCGGTAAGGTAGGACTTCATTCAACGTTGTTGGCTACAATCAGCAGGATTGGTCATAGACTACCTGCAATGCGTCATCCAATGTATGAGTTCATGCAGTTAGTCAGATGAATGAAGTGAGCGCTGACGTATTGTTGTCGGGTTTCTTCCTGACGCGTCTTACTTCCCTGTGTTTCACAATTTATGCATAAGTTTAGATGTTCTTTTGTATTTTACATGAGTTACCTGGACAGAAGTTGATGTTCAGGTATTAATGAATGCATAATATATATAGTAATTTATAGTTTGTTGAATATCAAGTGTATAACGTTTATTTACATTACCAAGATTTATTGTTAGTTTTTGAGGTTATGTCAGCGTTGCTTGATGGCCGAACCGTGGAAATACCACGATAAATTATTGGGGTTTTCCGAGCATTTTAGCTACTAAATTACATGTACCCTTATTTAAGTTATTACAGGGCTGCTTAATTTGTTTAATGTGCTTGTGTATTTAATAAAATCAAAATTTTGCACTGCGGTGTTCGTTATCAATACTGTTTCTGGCTTATTACGTGATAAAATTATATATGCAAAAATATATTGTTATACGAGATTGAAGGAAAACTTTCAAGGCGTGGAACGACGTTTAAAGTTTTTTGTTGCTTAAAAGGAAAAGTAGATTACATATTTTAATAAATTACATAATTAAATTCAGATATAAAACATATCTACTGATTGTTACGAACTTACAGCTGTTTGCGAGACTGTTATAATTCCAAATAGGAATGTTGCAACAATATAGAGATTTCAATGTCAAAAAAGTGTTGTTAATAAAACACTCAAACCATTTGTAAACCATAAACAAACCAGTTGGCAACGCTTCAAAGTAGACATTAGATTATTAGAAGAGTTGTTGAACAGAGAAGGAAGACTAAAACATATATAATATAAGCAAAAGTACCCGTCCCCAGTGATGGGAAAAGTTTAAGTTAATATATCCATTTAAATTATTTCATGGACTTTAAAAGGTTAATTGTCTTTCAATTTTGGTTTCACTCAGAGCTATTTATACCACCCATCGCGAAAAGTAGTTATTGAGCATTTCAGTCATGCTAAAAGCCGCTCAACAATAACATATGGTAAATCTATATTTTTATTCTTTAACTTACGTCATATTTTGAAATGTGAATGATAATGTTATTAATTCCTAACAACTTAGTGTAGAATATCCTGCTTGTGAAGTAAAGTTTCGCATCAAAGTTATTCATGCCTGTTCTCCCGTCATTTCAAAAGTGAATGTTGAGGTTTGCCTGCGTGCGCAGCTTTTCAAACGGGAGTCAGACGAACATATATAACATATTGTCTGTTTGTAATTAAGCACAAAGTTACAGAATGGGCTATCTGTGCCCTGCCCACCACTGGTATCGAAACCAGGTTTCTAGCGTTCTAAGACCGCAGACATAATGCTGTGCCACTGGGGGGGGGGTGCAAGATAACATATACATACTACATACTAACATATATCTTATGGGTTATGACATGTATAATATTTCACCTACATGTAAGCATGCGAATGTATATATATATATATATATATATATA